GCGGCTCACTGCTTTCCCGTCTCAGCCGCCGCGGCTCAGCCTGGCCAGCTGAGTTTGTGACATCGGCTGACACCTCGTTTTCCCACTCCGGTCCGGGCAGACACCTACTCTCTTCCCACCTGCTAGCTGTGGACATCGCATCAAACAGACTGTGGAGAACATTCTGTGAGAGACACCAGGGCATATAGGCTCACATCCCAACTGTAAGTCATCAATTTGTCCCCTTTTATATGACTAATCAGTTTTGGTTGTCTGTATTGCACACTGATATACATTTTTCCAAGTTCAGCACATTGGGCCATTACTCTTATCATAGGTAGTCGCGCTCCTCAAAAACGAGTTTTCTGTGCATGATGGGGGCAGTCATGCGGAAATCGAATTGATAATTGTAAGGTGGATGGCCACCTTTATACTGACAGCAACCACTAGAAAGAAACTAGCCCAAAATCTAGCTGGTTAGACACACAGGCAGATGCAAATCTTGCATACAATCTGATGCACTGGTATAATGGTTGTGTTTCACTAGGTGATACACACATGCTTCTGAGATTCCCTAAACTGGCCCATGAGCTAGAATCTACACTTTCTCACCTCTTCCACTGCCCATTTACACATCAGACACACAGAGCCCTGTCTGTCAATAAGACCCCTGCCTATGATAACTTCCACACACTGGTACTAATCTACATGCATACAAGTTTGCTGTCCCCATTCTCTGTCAACCAACTGCTGCAATACAGAGAACAAGAGGGCACAGCCACATGATACAATCTCACACAGACTAGCAGAGACTTACAACTAGGGATGAGCTATAAGTTCATTTTAAACACAGGTTTAGCTGTGTTGAGCTTCTGTTAATAAAGCAGGCATCTACTTCTGAATACTTTAAATTAGTAATGTGAATTAATATACCTTTAAAGATAGGCTTATATTTCCTTAAAGTACAGTATATATAAAGGCAAAAAATAACCTGATGGGATATTAATTCTTCCTACTCTATTAAAAAAAAAAGTTTTGGCCGTACATACACTTGTTTCTGTTAAGTATAAGATAAAAATAAACTTCCTATCCCAATCTCAAGAGTCATATCTATACTGTATATGAGAGTAAATCTGATCAAACCAAATTCCAAGCAGGATTTATTATACTAAGAGTGTATACTATGTATACTAAGAGTGCTAAAAGTTACAATTTTGAGCTGTTCCCTTTAATGTTACAGTATAAGCATATGCTGATTTTATATGCTTATGCAAGTATTTTTGAGTTCAAAACAATGGCTCTGTCCTTGGCTAGGTGGGGAAAATATCCAGAATAAAGAATTATTTACTTTTGGTCATAATTGTTTTCTGACCAGAACCACTTTATTGTGAAAAAAGAACAGAGTAAATATCTCTCTACTTGTGTGGCACAGGAGCAGAACACCTTCACTTGTAGAGTTGTTGTGCTTTTCTCACACTCTTTAATTACCGCTAGCAGGTTACGTAAGAAATGTGACCTTGTTACTCCATGTTCTGGTGGTCCCTCTTTATTGGGCATTGTAAATTGTTTTGTTATGCTTTAGCGTTTTTATCATCTAAGGTGTGATGTTCATGCTTTATGTCAGTCATCAATTGTGTGGCATGTTTAGAAGATTTGGAAGTATAAACACCATTTTCAGTAAAGTAGGGCAAGAGGATAATAGCCTGTAATTGCAAACTGATTTTTTACAACATGATTAATACTCAGGAAACTCTGCTCCAGTGAAAGGAAATAATTAGCAGGACAATTTAAACAACAGTGTTTGTTCTTCCAATTCATGGAATACAAATATATTATGGAAATAATTGATTGAAGATTGCTTCCTCAATAACATTGCCACTGATTGTAAATCTTCCCCCATAAATCTGCATATAACAATAATCCATTGCAGTATATTACACAAAACATGTTTGTAACCATTCAAACATTAATTCAGTTCAAATTAAAAGAAAACTTAAGGCATGATTATAGATATTGTAAACTATACGTCCCAATTTTCTTGTAAAGAGAAAACTGAACACCAATGTCGCTGCTTTTATGAAGGCTCTGTTATAATAGATTCTCTAATTTATAGGTCTAGGCTTTCCCCATGTGGACAATTATGAAGTCTACAAAGTGAAACATTTGATGAAGTCATGATGAATATTTAAGTCCATTGTGCTATTGTACCTAGTTGTTTTTGGTTTTTTTTTTGCATTCCAAAGCCACTGAAAAATTGCCCTGTACTTCATCATATTCCTATTATTTATCGATTTCCATTGTACAAAGAATGCCACAAGTGTGTTCACACAAAAGTATTTATCTGCAGAGGGAGTTAAAAATGCAGTTTAACTTTTTAAACCTAATGAGTTAATGATATCCAATGAATTATCTGTTAGGTGCATTATTTTAGAGTACGTTGAGTCGTTTAATTGTAAATTTTAATAAAAACAGGTTAAAAAAAGAGGGGAGAGCTGTTCTAAAACTTATGACCAATTGTGTGTGTATATATGTGTATATGTGTGCTGTGTGTGTGTATTGTGAGGACCCCAGGGGAAAACAGGCGTTTGTAGCACAGTCTGTTTAAAAGAAAACAGTTTTTATTCCTTGCACCGCAAAGAAAACAAATACTTTAGCTTCCTTCAGCAGTACAGCAAAAACGCAGGCTTTCTTAAGCAGAAACAGAAATATGCAAAGCAAAAGTCCTGCAACAGAATTGCACAGCCTTGTGCGTTTCGGTGGTCTCACCTAAACAAGTCCATCTGCATCCACACACAGAGAGTTTCTTTCCTGTCTTTCTCTGCTCCACACTCCTCTCTCTCTCATCTATGTTAAGCTGCCCATACACCTTACGAATATCGAACGATTTTCATATGCGATCGCGTTTCTCTCCATATATACTGTATTTATACACATACCACCTTTCTAGATGTAGTTTCACAAATGCAAGTTATGCTTCTGGTTTTAAACCTTTCACTTAGTGCAAGACTTTCAATCTGCTCAGAATGATTTGAAAAACTGATTGTATCAGATTAAAACTGAAAACAAATCACAAAATGAGTTTTTTCCAAAAAGAAAGAATGATTGTTTCATTTTTCAATACATTGAAAGCTGGAACCTAATTGGTTGCTGTTGACTGCAAGACCATGTTTGTGCTTTTTAATGCATTATCCCCAGTGTATCTAAAATCTCATGCAGTTATTGAGCAGATATGCTGAGTATATTCTCTAACGACCAACCACTAGAGGCGGTATCGACAAAGTTGTATGCATACAAAATATAGGATTCCTTAAAATGTATCTGCAGTCATTTTTTTTTACTTGTTCAACAGCATATGGAAGGTTTAAAACATTTGTCTATTTCTACTCTATCCGAAAATAAGAAAAATCTTGACATACAGTCTCAAAAATATTTTTTTATTTTGTGTAAAGCATGTTATAGGAAAAAATTAGATATTAATGGTTTAAGCAGGGCATTGCAAATTATGGTTAAGTATCATTTGTTTTAATTTTTGGTGACAGGAAAATGCAGGAAGATAAAATTTCCTTTTGTGAAAATATTTCTGACATTGTATGCTTCCTGTTTGCAGATGATCCACACAGACAGAACCTGGAAGAGAAGATAATCTATGGTGTAGAGAACAGTAGCACATTCCTGGAATGTAGCCCTAAATCACAGAGAGCTATGGTTTTCTGGCAGTTCCAGAAACAGCATGAAGACAAAAAGGAGGAGGTAATGGGACACTCACTGCTGTCAAGCTGCCTACAATAATGTTTGGCTTGTACATGAATTGCCTTTCACAACAGGTTCATTTGTTTTGAAATTTTGTAGCAACATATGTACTCAGATTTAAGCCAATGGTTTGTCTCATACAGAGGTCTTTATTTTGTAGCCACATAATTTTAAAAAAAAACTGTATTATACTAATTCTTCTAGTGCTCCCTTTTTAAATACCTTTCCTTGGTTCCTAAGCCGTCTATCCCTTTGTAAGCAAGCAGAGCCTTAGAGTATCTGTTAACGACAAAGACATATTCAGCCTTCATTACAAGTTTGGCAGACTTCCCACTGGTAATGAAGCACAACACCACAGAAGGGGAGGAAATGAACCAACATTTCCAGTCTGGCTTTCCAGTGGTCTCTTGAGGTCAGGGCTGAGATATGTAGCATAGACAGGAACAGCAGTTGATTGGGCTCTCACCCCTGTTTTTATGGGCACACCATGCATAATTTCCAATTTGCTTAGTTCATGTGACAGACTTGCACCATTTGTGGTCAGCCTAAATATAAACACCCAACAGAAAATGAAAATGACAGTCTCACATATTATTTCCTAGACTAATCATATCACAAAGGGGCAAAAAAAGCACAATAGGATAACAAAAGGGAAAAAGTCTTAAAGTGACTCTGCCTCTGTAAAAAAATTAAAATAAAGAGAGCCACTCTGCAAAAGAAGAATGTTTACACATGTCTTTTTGACAGGTGTGGTGTTAAATATTCACTTTCTTGAAGAGCTTCTGGAACTTCTGGGTGTTTTGGAAAGCATGTCCCCTGCTGGACACTGTGGTTCCCCTCACCAGTCACTACTTCGCTGCTGTGTCCTGCATATACAGGGTCACTTTAAAGGGAAAATCAAAGCCACCAGCAAAACATATTCATATCTGTTTACTGCTTTACCTGGCACTCCTCATGTGAGAGCAAAGACAAAGAGCTCAAGGAGAAATTGTGCAAGCTCAAACCAAACCAATTTGGAACATGCACAGGTTTAAATATTTTCTCCACACCCCAAAATGATAATACTGGCAATTGGCCACTGTGGTAGCCAGTGCTTGCATCATGGGTGATGGGGGGAGAGAGTCCCATGTTCTTCATATCCAGATGTTATGGGTACTTCTCCCTGCTTCAGATGGCTGAACACAAAGCAAGCGGAGAAAAAGGGGTGTCATTATTACAACTGGAGTGTCCTGCCATTTAAAGTGCAACACTAGTAAAACATTTTCGCCTTTAACATTGAGCCCATCACTATTGACCTCACACTGGGGCAGGGAGGGTCAGCAATGTCAGCAAGGCTGGATCTATTGCCAGCACAGTGCAGTGGTGGAGGTGGGGGGAAAAGTTGGATCACAGGTCTGGCTAACATAATTGAAAATATTTTAACAGGTAACACCGTTCACCTATTTATATTTCAACTTTGTGTTACACTGTTTGCCTCATAGTTTGCCTTTACATCAGAATAGCGTTACCATTCCTTTATCTGTAGTATAATTATAATAAGAGAACTTTCCTATTTGCAATGCATTTTATAGCACTACAGGGAATCCATTTTATTGACCCTTAATAATGCCATGGCATTGTGTTAAATTACTAACAGTGGAATTTTTCTAATTGCTTTTTAAGCCTTAGATCACTTTAAAATATAAACACATTTGACAATTCCTCTAGGTACAAAAACACAACACAAACAAGAAGCATTTCTCAACACCAGTTTACACATTACTTTTGTGACATTGTTAGAAAAAGGATACTGTGACCACCCTATCTGCAACGTGTTTATAAAACATTACAAGACTGTTAAATGGCTGGGTTTGCTTAACTGGGGTTTTAGAACAGCTTGGGAAAACAGGTCTGCCTTTGGCAATGTTCTTTTTCTGCAACTCTGTTGTTGCAATTGTATTTTTATTGAAGAAATCATGGTCAATTTGTAGAAAACATTTATGCTAGCTGGAGTTTTACATTATTTTAATTCATGACAATGCTCTAGTCTGGAGATATGTTACACATTTGAGATCAGGTTTGACCTGCAAACCTTGTAGTCAGAAAATTAGTGTGAATGATCTAGCGTTGTATTTTGTTGGAATATTCGTGCAGATCCGTGACCGCGTGCCTGACTGAATTTCCACTCGCCCTCTCTTTATTTCCACTCGCCAAATGCGAGCGGGCGAGTGGAAATTTTGAGCCCTGTTGTATTGTGTCAGATTTTGAATATTGTTACCTACAAAAAAAAATTCTTAGGAGTTATTACATGAATTGGATAGTTCTTTTATGGGATCTTCCACAGTCAAAATGGGGTTCTTTATTAATACATTGACTGTATTGTTATTGCTTATTATGCATTGTATAACATTATTTTAAAGTTTTACTACCTTATTAAAGGGCCAGTCCATGCAAAAGTGATATCTTAGTTATAGATGGTGCATGAAGGCATGAGTCAGCCCATGCCATACTTTCTCTGTTCCTGTCCAATTTAGAGGTTTAAGTGCTCACCCATTTGTGTGTCCATGTACCTCCTGTTGCATTTTCCAGAAAATAGGATATAAACTCCAACAGGGACAGTGGGACCTGCTCAATATGGCCAAAGCAAGAATGCAGACCTAGAGTTCTCATCAACCAATATAACAAGATATCAGATAATTTGATTGTTTTATCTTCCAAAAACTGAAATGCCTGTTTTGGGAGAACTGGGATTTTAAATTATAGCATAGGTGTAAAATCTAAAGCTATCTTGTTTTCCCTCTACCCTTATCCTGCCTGTTTCTATGATAAATATGTAGGTTTGCTCCAGATAGAAAAGTTAAAATTGGCCCAAGGAGAGCTTCTAAAACTTAGGATTGAATTCTTAAGTGGCATGGCGATAGCAATTCCCTTCCTGTAATACTGATAGTCTGATTCCTCCTGTATAGTTTTATCTTAGTTTGTTTTACACTATATTATACAGTTTTTGTTGAATATACTTGTGTGTTACTCTTGGATATCTGTCTGAATGTGTATGTACTCCTTTGTGGCTGATATAAATAAAGAATTTCCAACAAAATCTAAAGCTACAAAGACTTTTATCACTAGCCAAGGCCAAAAAGAGCATTTTCATGAGACATTTTATTAATAATCTAATGATGCCTGTTGCTTGTATGCAGTAGCACAATATAAATTGCAGCTGACAGGATAACTGTAGTCTTCTTTTCTTTATTATAGATAAAGATGGATGATCGTATAATAAAAACAGACCATGGGCTACTCCTTCGAACTCTGAAAAAGAGGGATTCAGGGGTGTATTACTGTAATGCAGTAGAACATGGATTTGTACAAGCTCTTCTTAAAGTAACTCTGGAAATTATTGACACTGAACATTTAGATGAGCTTCTGCACAAAGATGAGGACGGAGAAAACCATAAGCACAAAGAACCATCAAACAGCATGTCTCCAACACAGAAAATATGGTATAGAGACTTCATGCAACTGATAAGTCACCCAAATCTCAACACAATGGATGAATTCTGTGAACAAGTATGGAAACGAGACCGCAAGCAACGTCGACAAAAAAATATTAACACCCAAGTTAGTTCCAACAAATGGAAGCACCTACAAGAAAACAAGAAAGGCAGAAACAGGAGGACCCATGAATTTGAAAGGGCGCCAAGGAGTGTCTGATTTGAATTACCTCTTCAAACCTCATCTGAGCAGGATTTGTATAGACATTAAACTGGAAAAATGCAATATTCATGAATATTTTCATGGCATTATTTGGATGTTTACAGAGTGGAAAGTTCCACAATTTTCCACTGTTTAAATAAAATACATTAGTAACTTTCCAAATAGACTTAGACTATATAGTCAAAATGTAAAAGTTTTAAAGACAAAGTGTCTCGGCTTGGTTTTCCCATTTCTGAAACAATTCTCATCCGTTGATTTTTGTACTTCCTTCCTTTCCCAAGAAGAAACTGTAAGTTTACCATCCTGCCATTGAAATGAGAATTGCTTAGCATCAGTCATCAACATCGTCCCACAACTAGGAATGAGTTTGATATCCTTGCTACCATTGCGTAAAAATGAAGAGCCCATTGGATACATATATATATTTTCCTAACATAAGAAGATGTGATGGTGCCTGGGAATACACAAAGAAAGGAATAGCTGCAAGAAGACTGAGTTCAATAAACAGCAAACAAGTTGGGCTTACTGATCTACTACTGATAACTCAACCAGCTTTGACCTGAAGTTGCAATGTACTTTAATTTAAATGACAAATATGCAGTAAATTTAAGAAGCTTTTCTTTTTTTTTGCCCTCTATAGTTGTAGCACAGACTTTAATTTTTTTTGCACGTATTATTTCACAACAAATATATTTTTTATTTTTTTTTTGTTTAACATTTTAGTTTTAAAAAGCAACACATTGAATTGGTGACGATTGATCATAGAAATGGTAATATTTGCAAATTTAAGGTAAAATTAAAAAAATCGTAGGCAGTGCCCTATGACTATTCAGAAAACAAATATTCTGAATGAAAGGTGTTTTGGATCCAATAAAAAAATGGCTAAAAATGAAAAGTACAGAATCTCCTGTATATTGTGGCAAATTAAATAAACTGCATTTATTTTGGTTTAATAATTGTGCCACATGTATGTTCTAAATTCATTTATGTATTCAGAGTTCACAAACCATGCATAGCAGAGAACACAGGTATAAATTCATAAAAATTGAGAAAACAGGAAACTGTGTATTAAGTAGAACGACTGAATTCCAGTTCCATTTTTTTTTACTTTAAATTAGAAAATGAATTTAAGCCTTTAGCCCACTTGTACTCTTATTGTACTGTTGCTATAGTTTTATTACATTGGGCCCTAGGTGCCTGGTATAACTGCTCTGTGAACTGTAATTGAACGGATGTCAATATTTGTTTATTTCTTTTAATGTTATTTTAAATAGACCTTGTTATTTGTTATTTAATGGATGTGTTTCAATTAACATCCCTTTGTCCCTGGTCAATTTAATATATTTGTATCCAGTAGTTACCTGAAGCAGAGTTAGAGTCTATGGGAAATTAATGGGCACTAATTATCCACTATTGGGTTTTGTTTCACACATATAAAAAATAAGAATAAACTTTTTATGAAAGCCTACATTGATATTGATATGAGGCCAAAGAGGCTGTGTACTATTCACTAAACAACACACTAAATATGCATCTAATTAGCAAAAAAGCAATCTTCAAAGTGCAGTAGCCCATGGCAATTAATCCAAATATATAATTCTCTGGTCTGAGTACCCTAGATTCATTATGCTATGGGTTATGACATTTTCTGCATTATCATCATTGTTTGCACTGCTTCTTTTCAAAATATATGTATTAATATATTTAAATATTAATACTTAAAGGAGATCTATTGACTCCCAGATATATATTCAGATGAAATATGTGAACTGTTTAACTTCCAAAAGGATTTGCATTCTGTTAAGCCTGTCTCACACTTTTCCTACACCACACAAGTCAGAAAACATCCCTATTTTGTAGTTAGGTTTTGCAGCTTCTTGTGTTACCTCTGCACTTCCTTCTTGCTGATTAAACAATAAATGAGGATCATCACACTAATGAGCAGGTAAGTGAGTGAGAAAACTGCAAAAATGAGCAAAGAAGTAAAGGTATATTCTTTCTTGAAATGCAGTGTGACTGAATGTCAAATGTGTGCAGCACAAGACTGGCTAAATAGAACCATAAATTCCTTGCCAATTACAACAGTTGAAATGTATGTATTTCAACTGTGTTTTAGTGCTTTGTAGTTAATTATTGTTCCGTAATTAAGTTATTAATAAAAACATAATTTGCAAAATCGAAACCATGCAACAAAACACACAATTCAGATGATTCCACTAAGAAAATTTTGAGTTAATTATTAAGTTTGTCTTATGAATTGTGAGTGTACATATACTACATTTGGACTGTAGTCAATGCAGTCATTGCCACATTTTATTCACTATAAGAGGGTAAAATTTACAGTTCACAGGGGAAATATATATTGGACATGTGTTACATTGGCACAATTAATAACCTGTTTTTTTTAGTTACCTCTAAGGAAATACAGAGTGAAAAGTTTTAATACGAATTTATAATCCATATTTATTAAATATAATTTACATGAGTTACACTGAGCGATATCAACATGTTCTTTTTTTATCAGTATTGTTCAATAGTATTTTATTTTTTTATGTAATTGTAATTTTATTGTCACTGTAATTTAGTAAATCATAAAGTAAGACTGTTCTTACACCACTATAGTACCGTGAGAGTATCAGTGGATTCAAACTGGGCAGAAAATCAGATCCACACTGCTTAGTTTAAATCTGAATGTTCTGTAAGTGTGTGGTCTTTGTTGCTGCATTACACATTGAAGGTTGGGTTGGTATAGCCACTATACTTGGGTCACCGAGGATTTAATATATAATACATTATATTTTTCAAGGGTTATATGTTCAAAACAGAATGTAGTTTTTTAGCAGCCAGAGTAAAACTCTTCAAGCACAGGTTTGCTCTTAGGAAATATCTATGGAGGCTCTAAGCACACTATTTTTACATGTATATGTCTACAATACATTTTTTCAATCCTTAGTTGACATTTCATAATATAAGATAAAATGAAAAGTATAGCTTAAAACAGCTTTATAGTTTTTTTAACCCGTGATGTAAATGGGGAAATTGTCAAAATGTCACTGCGCACACATGGCGTCATGTGATGTCATTTGCTTTGCCTCCAAGATGATGGTGCACATGTGCAGAATGCATGACAGTGCAGAGGTGCATTGCAGCAAGGAAATATCCCTACAATTTTGTCGGGATCCACCTGCTGCCTGATTGACAGCTGGCTCTGCTTCTTTAGAGCCAGCTATGCCTGCCCCCATCCCCTGTCTGTCCCTTCAGTCAGCGCTGGAGGAACAGAGAGGGAAGGGTGAAATCCCTGCAGGGAGCCGTGACTGACAGTCACTGCTCTCTGCAGGGAGAAGACTGTCAGTGGAGCAATCCGCTGTTCTTGATCACTCTGCTCTCGATCTATAGAGCTAACATGTGGCAACTGAAGTTTCACATGCTGGCTCTAAGTATTGGGAAAAGTACTTTTACTAGAAACCGTTAAAAGAGAACTATGGGGTAAATGTTTTTCCCCATAGTTCTCTTAAGGGTCGTGGGAGGACATATACTAGCATCCTCCCGTGACCCAAAGCTCAGTATATTGCGAGCTACAGCTTGTGGTATAGTGAGACCGCTGCAGCCATGATGGATCCCGACATTACTGTTGAGATCCACCCAACTGCGTGAGTGACCGCTGGCTCTGCCTATCTAGAGGCAAAGCCAGCTGTACCCACCCCCTCCCTTGTCCGTTCCTCCAGTCAGCACTGAAGGATCGGAGCGGGGAGGGGGGAATCCCTGCTGGGAGCCATGACTGGCAGTCACAGCTCTCTGCAGGGAGATAATCGAGAAGTGAGCGAGCAACGGTATGTGTTCGCTCACTTCCTGATCTATTGAGCCGACGTGTGACAGAGTTTTATTGTCACACGTCAGGTCGAACTATGAGGAAGAGTGATTTTCACTCGCCTCTTAATTCTCCTTTAATAGAAATTTGATAGGTAATATGGGATAATAATATTTGCCTTAAAGAGGGCCTGTCATCACAATACACATACTTGGCTGATCATATGCAGTAAAAGTAGGCAATACACTGTTACCAAAGCTATCTGTGTGATATCAGTCCATTCTTTAGCATGCACCCCCACACCCTTACATCCCCACAGTTCCAGCAGCTACTCAGGAAGCCTTGCATGAGACTCTGTGTGAGATCAAGAAAAGCATGCCATATACTTTTTTAGTGCTGGCCCTGACTCATAGGATACCAATGCAGTCATGTGAATGCTAGCATTCGTATGGTTTTGACAGATTCTGTTGGATTGTACAGTTCATGTCCAGGTGTCAAAAACCTGCATGTTTTGATTAGTGGATAGGATGAGCAGGCAACAAAGTCAAGTGTAACTAAAAGAATGCCCTCTTAACCCTCCACTATATACAATTTTGTATTGTTTAGTGGAGTAGTTGTTCCCATAAAAAAATATCTTAAAAGGTACCATCTGCTTGAATGAAGATGAAAATACACCACAGCCAAAGCTGCTGCAGGAATTTTTCTTTGCTCTAAACAGGGTGATTATGAGAAAATTAAATCCCCCACTGCAGATTAATATGCTAACTCCCGGGCATGTTTGCAGTTACATCACATGTAACGGCACATCTGTTCTGAGAAACGATGTAATGATCAAATTCATGCTGTGTAAAATGAACAGTGAGCTATTCATGATTTTACCCAATTTCACACGGTGCTAGAGGCATTTAAGGGATTTGGGATGCCACTAATGTTCAGTTTCTTTTATTTTGAAATACAAGTACAGTTTTACTTTAATAGGTCTGTAAAAAGTAGTTTTTCCTGCATATGATTATCATTTATTCACTGTGTCATTAACAGGTTAATGAGATGTAGGCTTAAAGCTGAACTCTCAGCAGATATTAAAAATATTTAAAAACCTCCCACAAATGAATATCAGCTACACATGTGAATGCAGCTATATATTAACGAAATAATAAAATATAATTTGACTTGGTTTCATCCTCCTGTAATCACCTCTACAGAAGAACTCTTTACCTTCACTGCATAGCTTAGCTTTAACAAATGCATTTGTTGGTTGACAACCTTGCTTTCAGTACCTGGGACATAGTTGTTTTTTTAGTGAAGAGAAACAGAGTCCATAACCCACTGGTGATAATGATTCTGCATTCTTGAAGATATCAGTAATGGCTTTTGTCACAGCCACTTTTGTTAAATGCTAATGTATCCAATTACCACTATAAATGATTGCTATCAATATCTTAATTTGTTGTACTTTGGTTTTGGAACAGCAAAATGTGGAAATGTTTTACCTACGGCAAGGCATACTATGGGTCCAAAACATTAACCTTATTCAGAATATTTGACTCTTTCTTTCTAATAATGCCTCCTGAAATGGTTGCAGTAGCACAATGTGGTTTCCAATCATAACATTGACACTTGTGTGTTGACACAACAGTCTTACAAATTCCAGCTTTGTTTTACCGTCATCATGGCCTGTGGTAAGTAGCACAGCTGGGCAACGTACGGTAGTTAAATACACTTGCTCTAAAATAAAAAGTCAAACTATATGGAGCTGGAAATCACACAACTGTATGTACATAGTACTGCACATCTTTTTAAACCGTCTTCCACTTTCATATTCATACATTATAAAACATGAGTAATCTGTACTGATCAACCAATGGCTG